CAGCAGTTGGGGAGCTGGCTCTTTCTTTGCCTAGAGTTGCAGTGACAAGAGGTGGGGGGGAGACGGGATGCCACAGAAGAGCTGTGTGAAGGGGACGGGAGAAGACTAAAAAAAACCCTGCAGTTTTTAGGAGATACTGAACTAGCGCTTAAGTCGGGTCCAGCTGAAACGCATCTGGAATTCGGCTTGTGCCGATCCTTTCACAGGGCTAACCCCTTTCTGTACTCCGAATAGCAGCTAGAGCTTAGCAGGGAACTTAAATGGTTAAGCAGCAAAGAACTTTCCGTGGTTGCTTCCCACCTCTGACATTAATCTGCAGGCTACAGGAATTTATTGCACACCCTTCAACTTAGTGCAGAGCATGAACCATGCATCATCTGGGCTGCTGTGGGGCTGAGTTCACATGCTGTGCTCACGTGCCAGCAAGGGAGCTAGCTTACCAGAGAATGCCATGAGAGATCTGCTAGAAAGATTAGGTTTCCCTTGGAAAAAAAACGCTTTTTTTCATTTTAACCAGAGCCAGTCAGGCTCTTTATACTGCCTAGTATAACTGAAAAGAAACAGTAATATTCATTGAGGATATGACAGAGAAAAAATAGCCCAGCACTTAAAAATAAATTAGCTTTCCCTATCAAAGCAGAATATTTTTTTCAGCATAATTCCAACACAAAGGTCAGGTGCACTTAAAGAAGAACATTTGCTAATTCAGGTAAGGAATGGTGTATAAAGCAAATGAATCACCAAAACGAGTACCAGAGCTAGGTTGAAAAGGGTAACTGCACTAGAAAATAATGTAGCAGTCTGAATGAATGAAATCAGAGTATCAGTCAAACAAGATTCTTCAGTCTTTAAGAGGAAGGCTTTGGTTGAAAACATTCATTTATTTTGAAGCTTTGATGCACTTTAAAAGGAAGAAGTTAACATACTGTAAATAGAGAGGAGACAAAAATCTTTTAAACCCTCAGAATTCAAGGGCTGGTTGATGAATACAATACAGCAGATCCATTTCAGCTATTGGAATGAGTATTTCTAGAAATCAAGCTGATAGATTTCTCTTTATATGAATTACAGGTGTAAGCAATAACAACATAAGCTTCCTTTAAATCAAGAAGAATCCACAGTGGGGTTTCCACTTCTGCAAAAGAATCAGTTCTCCATTACAAATAATTACAATTTAATTTTAATTAGGGTGGTGCTTAACCTGAAAGAAAAAAAAGTATAAAAAGAAAAGGGGGGGCGGGGGGAGAGAACAACTGAAAAACAACCAGAAAAAAGCAGCAAGGTCTAGGAAAAGTTAATAACTTTGAAAAAAGGAATGTTGAATAGAGTGACTCATTTATTCATCATGGATACATTGGGGACAGGGCAAAATGCACGAATACATAGATGAATGTTCATTATGAATGAATCATCATCAGATCATGTTTTCTTATGAAGGTAAACTGGCACATGAATTAAAAACTGACTTAGAATATATCACTCCAGACCAGACTTTGTTGGAATTGGACAACAGTTTTCAGTGGAAACATCACTTTTTACTGCAACATTTTACTGGTTTGTGTCAAATTTGAAAACTATCTTCAGTCCAAAGAAAGCAAAAAGTGACGTTAACAGGAGTCATTTTCAAAAGACATGCTTAAAGTCGACATATATTTGTGCCAATATACTTGCTCTTTATTAATCAAAAGGAATTAAGAGTCCTCAATAAAAAAGGAAAACATTTTTCATTGTATTATGTACCTCCTCAAGGACCATTCTTTTTAAAAAGTGCTAATTCTGCAGCAGATACACACACACACCCCAAAATAAATAAAAAAAACCCACCCAAACACCTGTTATCATCACCACTTTATGCAGATAGAATATAACTCCTGCCAGCAGGGTAAATGTGTGCTTACAAATTGTTAACTCTTTAGTGTTTTGAACTGCTTGAACTGATTTTGAAAGCAGTTCAATACATCCGTCTGAATTGACTGACCACATCCAAGTACCTTGTAGTATCATGCAATGATTTTTAAAACCATCTTTTGACTTGAAATAGCAAGGGTCAGGATTTTTTTTTTCTTCTGAATTTGTACGTCCTTCCAAATTGTTTAAAAGTTGGTGTGGGAGAATATGATTTTTAATCTGATTAGGAAAATGCGGGGAAGTCATACTGGGAGAAAAGGCAGGAGTGTGCATGCACACACATATAAATGAAGCCACACTCACCTCCAAGTAATTTTTTTTGTCCTTGCCACCTCATATGCCGTGGCTGAGTGAGTTAGTCTTGAACAGTCTCATCAGCTTCTTTGGCCTCATGCGCACAGATAAATGTTATATTGGGATGGAGGAATTTCTGACAATCAATTTACAAAACTGAGCCCAACAAAAATGTGGCTTCCCCTCAAATCACTTCCCTACAGTTCTATTTTTCCTGATAGCAAATATTCCCCAACAGGGTCATATTTGCACTGAATTGTGAATATAAGCAGTAGATTGCAGACAACTCACAATCCTCTTCTGGTCCATTGATTTTGTTAGCAGTAGGTAAATAGCAGGTCTTTTGCCTTTTTCAGTTCAGGGATCTTTTCGCTGGGCATTCGCAAAACAGGACACGTTATCACTGATCAGAGTGGTTTCTCCTCTCATTGCTATTACAAGCAAGACAAACCTGTGAGTTTCTGCAGTACAGCATATACACCTCAAAGCACTGACAATTAACAAAACTAGTCTTGGTGCAGTCAAAGACTGTCCAGCCTTGCTTCTGAGCTGTGCATTCAGGTGAAAGAAGAAAGAATGACTTGCAGTATGTCCTGCTTCAAAGACTCCACAGTTACTCTTCTTTTGCATTGAGGCTTAGGTGTTCCTTCTGAGGTAACACTTGCAATTCTCGTTTTCATTCCAGTCCTCTGCCTGGAGAAGAGAACCTGTCTTCTAGATTTTAACAGTATTAGATGCTAGAATTGCAATTTCACTTTGGTGTTCAAGTATTGGTGTTAATGGTATGCATGCATCTTAAAAAATGTCTGATCAAGATTTGGCTCTTATCTATTGTTCTGGTATGTAGTCAGAGCCTACACTAACAGTTTCTCTCTGCTGTCTCTCCTTAGTGCTTCAACAATAACTGGTCAGAGAGAGAAATATTTCTAGATGAGCCTACTTAAGCCTGAACCTCTACCTGAATATCTACTTCAACCTCTACCAAGCCTCCCTTTTTTAACCTGTCAGAGGGCAACTTCCACTGTAACCAGTCGATCCAA